GGAATGTGACTCTATTTGGAGGTATGATCTTTAAAGAGGTAATTAAGTTAAAATGAGATTAGGATGGGCCCTAATCCTACCAATATGACTGGTGTCCTTATAAGAAGGGGAAATTTGGACATAGACAGGCATAGAGGGAGAACACCATGTGAACATGAAGACAGCCACCTGCAAGCCAAGGAGAGAAGCCTCAGAAGAAAACAACCCTGCTGGCACTTTGATCTCGGACTTCTAGCCTCTAGAACTGTGAGGAAATAAATTTATGTTGTTTAAGCCACCCAGTCTGCGGTGCTTGTCATGGCAGCCCTAGCAGATTAATACAAGAGGTAAGAGGAAGATAAGTAGAGTGTGGTATGCCAGAAGACAAGAGATGAGAATGCTTCAAGTAGGAGAGGTTGTCCACATATTTAATAGGTGCTGAGAGTTGAAGGAAGATGAAGACCAGGCTGTGTCTCTTGGAAGGACCTGAAGAGAATGGTCTCAGTGGAGCGTGGTCGGGGCAAAAGCCAGATCTCCATGGGCTGAGAAGTTAGCAGGACTCCCACTGACTGCCAACGCAGAGAATTCTTTAAAGAGATTTGGTTGTGAGTTGGGCAGAGAGACATGACGAGGGCTGCAGCATCACATGGGGCTACGGGAGGGCTTTAGAAGGGTGGCTCTCGGGAAGCTCAAAACTCTAAAGGGTGAGAGTGAAAGAGACTCTAAAGGCAGGAAAGAGGAAGAACCACCCAGAAGTGAGGTTCACAGGCGGGGCAGGGAGGATCTTGGCTGATAACAGGAGGCAAGTGGAGAGAATGAGTTGGATGCAGGCAGTGTGGGTGTGAGGGTGGGAAGCAGGGGGTGGGGGAGGCTAGCTTCCCTGGCCCCTCCAGATCCACTCTGCTACCTTCTCCCCGACTCTCCGTCCAGGGAGGCTGACTCATAACACGTGCTGTCTGGCTCCCGCCATCAGGGGTCAACAGCAGGAAACTGGAGGACTGGAAGAGAGCGAAACTGGGGCTTTATTCCCGCTAGAATCCCCTGCAGGCTGTGGGCCTCTCGCTGTAGACACAGCTCCTGTTCGGGGCCCTCTCCGTCCAACTGTCCTCTCAGGTTCTGTCTGGCACCTGCTCCTGCCCTTGGCCCCTTCAGGCCTAAGGGCCACGTGTATTCCCAATGGTTGCTAGTCTTGGGGTCCTGCAGCACCTCGTATTGGTTTCCCAAAATTTGGTGATTGCCCTTTATTCAACTCTCCTCAAAGCGCTTCCATTTGAAGAGACCATCTCTTTCTGCTGGGCCCCTGACTGATATGAAGGTGTTCCCTTCTGGTGCTTCTAGATGGAAGTAAGTTCCTCTGCTGAGGGTAAGGGGGAAAATGAGGTTTGGGGGAGAACCTTGGGGAGAAGCTTGAGACATTCCTGTGGAGAATGGGAGTGGACTTATTTATAAGGGTGAGGCCTCAGCTGAGGGGTGCCATGTAGCTCGCTTGCCTGATGTCCTCACAGACTCAGCTGCAAGGGCAGATGGGGAAAGGGGTTCAAGCAAGTCTGTGATTTCAGGCAGGTGCAATTAAGGAACGGAGGGACAAGGGGATGTCATAGAGAAAATAGAGGGGCCCATGAGGTCAAAGCATGGTTGTAGAGGAAAGCTGTGTGAGTGAGAGGAAAGAACGTGTGGTCTGAGAGGAAAGGACATCTGAACGTGCGATTGGAAAGAAGGCGCAATCCTGGGCTCTGTTACACCCTGAGAGTGGGTGGTGATGAGAAAGGAAGGGGGTGAGAGGTTGGGGTGCCGGGTGGGTTGTCCATGTAGACCCTCAGGTCATGGGGAGACAGGAGAACCAGGAGCCGGTAGGCACAGTCTTTGACAAATGAGGGGGCTGACCGGGACCTGCAACCACACACCCACACACGCCCACACGGTCACACTCACATACGCACGCCCACAGTCCTCCCAGACGCTCCCAGACACCCTCACACGCACTCACCCTCACACACGCCCCAGACAGCAGATGGGGCGCTTGGGTAATTGGTTAAACCTGTTCCCGATGTCTGGCTCCGCACTGGCAGTGCCTGTCTGACAGGAAAGCTGGCTGGGCCTGCACCGCTCAGCCTGCTGGCCCCCCCTGCCCCTCCCCCTGGACGGCTGCCCCAGAGCAGGGGCTCCAGAGAGGCCTATGGGTCCGGCCCGGCTCCCTTCTGGGCAGAACCCAGTTCACGAGGCGAGGGTTCAACAGAGCTGCGCGGGAAGCTATCCCAGCACCAGTGAGGAGGAATTGATGTAAACCAGGGTGTCAAGATGCTGAGAGCAAGGGCCATGGCTGCAGAGTGCCCATAGGAACCAAGCTCGGAAAGTCCCATGGTCAAGGGGACGTGAAAAGATCATTCCCTGAAAGGAAGGCACGCAGCTTAGGCCACCAGAGCCGAGGAGAGCTCCCTGTGATCCCTCCACTTCAGCCACATGCAACGTGGGGTTCTCAAGGTGCTCGTCAACAATAGCTCAGCCGGTGGGGCTCTGCTGGGCCCAGGCCAGCCCCACCGAGGGGCTGTGACCGGGCCAGCTTGCTCAGGGAAGGCCTACTGAGCGCTGCTGTCCAGTCATCCTCGTGCTCACCTCTGCAGGGCCCTGATCTCCGGGGGGAGGAATGGTCGGGGGAAGGAAGGGAGCATCATTCCTCGGCTGCTTCTCCCCTTCCCAGCTGCATCTGTGTCTCTTCGAGAGAGACTTTGGTTTGTTCCCTGGAGAGGGCCCAAAAACTCCCAAATTAGCAAACCTGGCAAGCCCACAGCTCAGAAAATAGTTCATCCTGATTCCATGTTTTTCAGGCTCACAGAAGCCTTTATTAATGAAGTCACAACACCAATATTTACCGTCTGCGGGGAGAGGCACAACATGAGGGCATGGATGGGAGTGCGGCGGGGACTCCCGCCCCACCCCTTGCGGGCCTGGCCTAGGAAGATTGGCAGGTTTCCCTGGGTCTTTTCCAGCCCTTTATCTGGATGACAGGGGTGCTCTGCTGTGATCTTCCTGCGCTCCCTCCCCCACCAAGTGAGAGGAACAATTTACCCATTCCTCCGCCCCAGGATGGTGCCAAAAAGATGCCTTCTCTTCTTACCTTCACCCCACCTGTGCATACCTGCTCCCCAGAGGCTATCCAACCTGCCTGGCAGTGAGAGTCCACTGTGAGGTTCAACTTGGGACTTTCCTGGTTGATGTCTGGGGAGGGCGTTGGGATGGGGCACAGCCCGTTGGTTTCTAGCATTGACTGGACCCAGGAGAGACACTGACAGTCCCAGCAGCAGGACCTTCTGTGCTTTGATCCCTGCATGTGCCCCAGGCAACAAGGCTTGGCCCTTGACATCTTTCCAATGACTTCAACATTGATCAAACCCCACCCCCACCCCCAGGACATTCTAGGCGCCAAGAATGGGATAAGTAAAGGCACAGCACAGGCCAAACACGTGGCTCACTGGGGGACAGGGATGACGTGGGTGAGGATGAAGCAGAGAGCACCAGTAGCAAAGGAGGAGAGGCCAAGGGTGGGAAAGAAGGGAGCAGAGTGGGGGCCTGAGGAAGGGGGCGGCGTGGTCCTATTTGAGCTTGAGGAAGAGAACCCTAGCCTCAACACGCAGGTCCTCCTTTGAAGTGGGCCTCATCCTTGACATCTGCACAAACCTCATTATGCCTCCCACCCCTGCCCTCCCCTCCCAAACCCCCGGGATCCATGTACACTGTTTCCCAAGGTAGAAGAAACCTTGGCTGTTTGCGAAGGTGGGCAATCCTGGAAGACAGCAAGTGGGGCCGTGAGTCAGCTGTGAACACGCTGGGTTTGAGGTGCTGGGGAGCATGGAGGGCAGCAGGCAGCCAGCTCATAGGTCTGCGCTCAGCAGACGTTGGCTGGAGGCACTGGCTGGGAAGCAAAGAGAAGTCCTGGAGGTGGATGCAAAGGCCCAGGCGGAGGGCACAGTGAGGGAGGCGGGAGGAGCACGGACTGACCCCGAGGTGGACAGAGGCGACGGGACAGGAATAAGACTGGGGAGGACTCTGAAGGGCAGGAAGAGGTGTCAGAGGTACTGGAGTGAAGGCAGGGAGGGGTGGGGGAGGCTAGGAGCGAATGGCCAGAAGATGGGGGGCAGTGAAGCCAGACAGGAGGTGTGGAGTCTGGCCACAAGGGTGGCAGTAACTGTGGTTGGTGGCGGTCATGAGCATCAGCCCAGTGGTGAGGCAGAGGAGGGAGAGCAAGGGGTTGGGTAGCACATGGGAGCTGAAGAGGTAGAGGCAGGTCTGGACATCGTAAGGGAAAGGGTGTTAGGAATACAGGTTTTGTTTCTCAGGATGAAGGAAGACATGATGTGTGACAAGCAGGAAAGACAAGTGGACAAACTGGAGGCAGATGAACTAAAGAGATTAGTGGGCCGGGCCTGGGAGGCCAGGCTGGGAGGCCCTCAGCCCTCGGGAACCAGGTGCGAGCTCGGCCTCAAGCTGAGGTCCGAAGCTTTCATCTGAAGCTTTCATCTGCCGGGAGGGTGGGCGGGGGCGGGGGGGGCTCTCCAGGGACAGGTGAGCATCCTGGTGGGGCCAGGACCTGCGGCAGGGACTGTCAACCTCTGTGAATGGTGGTGCCCTCCACCCAGCCCCCAACACTCCCCGTTTCCTCTGTTTTGCCCTCAACTGGAGAAGCTCTACACATGGGCAAGTACGGACGCTCTCTCCTTCCCGACCCACCTGGGCCTGACTCCCACTGCTCATTAAGTTGGGAGAGACTTGAGCATAGCCTCCCTCAAGACACAGGGTGGTCCTTCCCTACATCTAGCCTCAGGGTCTCTTGCTGTGGAGTTGAAGCTAGAGACCAGGGTCAACCACCAAGAAAGGGGAAGAGCTAATGGACTGAGTCTCCAAGGCCCCACCCCAGGCTCCCAGGCCCTGAACAAGATTGCTCTGCCAGTCCCCGCAGTGGCCCTCAGAGCCAGAATGCACCACGCCAGGCTCGCAGGCTCTGGGGTTGGAGCTGGAGGCCTGTGTCATTAAGAGAGAGACTTTTATTATTCCCATAGGGAAGGGAGACACAAGGGGATCACTAAGAACTACAGCGGGTGCCTGGAAAATAAATTAAAACAGAAACGCATCAAAACAAAAAGGAGATAAGAGAAATGGAGGGTGGCTGGGAGGCTGCAGTGGCCTGCAGCCTGCTCAGGCAGGCAGGCTCTCTGAGGAGAAGGTCCAGCAGTCCCGGGCCTCAGCCAGCCCATTTCCTGTCCCTCTGTCGGTGGTGGTCCCAGGCTCCAAGCCCTCTGGGGCCGTGACTTGAGGCCTCCGCGCAGCCTGGCCAAGGAGTGGCCAGAGTCCTGCTGGGCCCACCGAGGGGCCTGGCCAGCAGCAAGCAGCACTCCGCCCTCGTGGGTTTGTGACCGCCCACACCCTAGTCATTGGACGTGACGTCGATGTCCTCCCCGTTGGCCTGCTTCGTGGCGATGCGCCACCGGTTGATGTGGTGGGAGCCCTTCTTCTTCTGCTCCGACTCGGGCCCCTCTTCCTCCAGCTTCTGCCGCTTGTACTTTGTCCTCCGGTTCTGGAACCACACCTTCACCTGGGCCAGGGAGGGAGGGGCACAGGTGAGAAACACCCAGGAGGCCCCCAGAGCAGCCACCAGGGCCTCAGCACTCAGGCTGAGCTGGGAGCCGGAGAGGGAAACTGAGGCCAGGGTTGTCTCCTTTGGCTGGTGCCACCTCATGCGTCTGGAGGTCTGCCCTTCCAGATGCAAATGAGGGGGGGCCAGGGAGAGGGCACAGTGGGCCAGACAGCGGCAGTTTTCCTGTCTCCTCAACAGAGGGAGAGGAGGGGGTCAGGGAACTGCCAAGCATCCTGGTTCCTGGAACCACAGGAACAGAGAGACCTGGGTCTCTACCAGTCTTTAGAGAAGAGATTAATAATTACTCCTTCTCAGGGTTGATGTGAACAGTAAATGAGGGAATATACAAGAAGCCATCACACGGGTTCTGATGGCCTGGAGTGAGCCCCGTCCCCCGGGGCAACCCTGTGCTCTTTGTGACACAAAGAGGCAGAGTGGACACGGCTACATAACCAGGAGGTGGTGTCCACACCAAGAGCAGCGCCCAGGACAGCCAGAGCACTCCTAGGGTCACAGACCCTGCTGCTCGAGGCTCTAACTTCTCATGCTGTCTAGGTTAGTCCGTTTCACCAGAGGACCCCATCTTAGCAACCTCAGGTGGAATTCCAGAGGGTCTCTGGGGAAGGTGGTGCCGAAGGGCAGGGTTATGAGGCATGGATGGTTTCCTGAAATGACAGCACATTTAAAAAGCAGGTAGGTTTAGCCAACTGCAGTTGGAGTGATCCACGGTGCCCATGCAGGTGGTGAGCGGTAAGTCATGTGTGTGGAATGATGATGAGCACCTTGGTTTGGCAGCAGCAGTGACTGCTGAGGGGAGATCCTTGAATCCTGGGCAGGCCTAAAGGCAAACCTCAGAAACACTACCCACTTCTGCCCCTGCTCCCTGAGAATGGGTGAAAAGTACAGGCCGTAGGCATAAAGCCAGGCAGTGACAGCCAAAGCAGGCCTGGCATCCAGGCCCAGGGAGCGGCTTCGTGCCCAGGATGCCCCACTCTCACATTTCCCAGACACTCCCCTCTGTCCCCTCCATGGAGCCAACCCAGCCCAGGGCTCCTCCAACAGCCCACCCCTCCCCAGAGTTTCCATGGTACCATCTGCCTTGCCCGTTGATTTTCGAGCACGAGGATAGGTGTGAGGGCAGCCAGTGGTCAATGACACGCAGAGCAGCCAGCCAGGGACAGGAAGAGATGAGGTACCTGGCCTTGGTGGACGGCGAGGGAAGGCCTTCTTCCCTCATTTCCAGAGCTGGCTTCAAACCCATTGCCTGCATGTCCCAGCCCAGATAGATGGGGAGGGTGGCAGATGCTCCAGGCGCAGGGCTTCTGGATTCCATGCCCACCTTTCCTTGGACACAGGGCTAGCTGGGCCCTGGGTGGTTCTCGGCACAACCATTTGGCAGCCAGCCTGGCCCCTGCCCCCCGCCCTGGAGCCCACTGTGACTGTGCCAGCCCGTAGGCGGGTGAGCTCGCCCAGACTCCTGTGCAAGGCTTGTGTGTGACTCAGGCCTGGGGCGGTGTTCCTGAGAGCCCGAGGGGCTGGCAGAGGGCTAAGCATGGCCAGCCTGGTGATGCGTGATCTGGAGCAGCACCAGGGACACAGGGCCCCTTTCTGCACCTTCTCCCTCCCACACACACTCCCCAGTCTCCTTCCAGAAGGAGACTCCTCTCTAGTGGGATGGACCTAGGCTGCTGCTCTTGCCCAGCATCACTGGCCCAAAGAAGGAAAGCTTCCTGGGCACAGGGCACAGGGTATGTTTTCACACCAGGGCTGGCTTCCTGGTACATACAAATGAAAAGCAATTCTGAAGACTTTCTCCATGAAAACTACTAGGGTCAAGGAGGCAGCTCCCTAGAAACAGGGACGAAAACTCTCTCCCCAGGCAGCCTGGCTATCTTCCGGAGAACAGTCTTGGGCTGAGTGTCCAGATGCTGTTTACAAAGACTGTAAATAACAAGGGGATGCTTACGACTTAGTAATATCAGTGAAAACTGCAGGATGCACAGTTTGGGCACAGTGTGATCACAACCATGGAAAAACAAAGCCTATGCATGGGGAAAAAAGACTAGAAGGAAATGTACCCAAAGTATGGGTGACTTGTCTTTCTTCTTTCCACTTTTCTGACTTTTCTTTAATGCATTACTGATAACAATTACCAGTAATTTTTATTATTTGGAAAAAGAAAAGGAACTGGGCTCCAAATGTAGTAAGAGGTAAGAGTGACACCCCAGCCAGGCAACACTGAGGTCACCCCAGAACCCCTTCCCTAAAGGACAGAGGACTTAGAAAGGAACCAGGTCACATACTGTGGGTACCAGCACAGTGGGAGCAGCCTTAGGAGGCCTGCTTATTCTGCACTGCCTCCCCTCAACACCGGCACGCTACTCACCTTTCAAGTCCAGGGCGCACTTGGGGTGCTGGCTGGAGGAACCCCTCACCCACCTCTGAGCCCTCTGGGTTTGGGGAGAGAGAGGTTCTTTGTGGCCGCCCAAGTCCCCACCTCACTCAATGACTCTCAGTTTTTCTGATAAGTGAAATCCTTCCAAGAGTCTCCACTTTTGTCTGAGTTACACCACCTGGAATACTCTTACTTAGTCTTCGAAACCCTGCTCCCTTGTTTCTGGACTGGATGTGCCCCAACACCTGTCTGTAACTCCTTAGTGCTTTTTTCTGTCTCAGTAACAATATCCCCAGCAACATGTTAATGTATTTGCTCAAACCTCTGTGTCCTCATCAGATGGTACGGGAACCGGGAGAACGAAAGTGGTATGTTAGCTGGCCTTGGAGGCCCAGTGGGCTTGTCCCAGGTATGTTCAGCCAGCAGGGCAGAGGTGAAGTGACCTAGCCCTGTGCTCTAGGAAAGAGGCGCTTGGGCCAACCCAGAAAACAGGAGAAAATCAACGGTAGAGGGATTGAGGTCTAATTGGAAAGGGGGTTTTGAAAGTGCTAACTGCTGCAGAGATGGGATCCTTTTTTGGCTTAGTTCAGTGGACACTTCTACAGGAGGGTCAGTTCTTAATTCTTCATGCTGTGGAATGGATTAACCACTTCTGGGGGGCGCGGAGGTGGAGAGGAAGAGCCATTGTTGAGGGGACAAGGGTCAGCTTGAGTCAGGTAGGATAAAGAAGGTAAAACTGCTGTGGATGAATGAATGAATGAAGGCATTAAGGCATTAGCAGATTGATCACTGTACGTATTAATGAATGAAAACGTGCATGAGTGAATGGACACATGAACTTACAAACAAGCAAACTACAACTCCAGCCAATGTTTCAGACTTTACCTTTGAATGAACCAGGTCTGCATCCCTTCTTTTCCACCACTCCCCATCTTAGCCCATCCCAAATGGGAGAGTCCGTGGCTCCTGGCCCCTGCATACTTTCAGGTGAATACCTGTCCTCTCATCAAGGAGTTCAAAAACCTCTATCAAGGGACATTTGAGTCTTGTAACTCTGATACAAGAAGTTCCTCCTTATGTCCTACTGTTGTCTCTTCTGTTTTAATTTAAGCCTGTGTCCTCCTATTCTGTCATCCTCAGACACAGAGAAAGTCCTCATACTAGAGAGAAGCTTAGAGACATCAATCAAGCCACTCCTCAGTCTGCTCACCCCCCTGCCCTCTCCACTGGGATCCACTTCCTAACATGATCCGCTCTCAGTGTCAAGCCCGATGCCATGCAAAGCTCAGCCCTCACCCCACCAAACTGAGGTCACCTCTGACTCCCCATCAGCTAGAGTCCGAACTCTTCCTGAGCTTTCTTGGATCCTCCTCTCTCAGTCCACCCTGGATGCTTGCCCTCACTCTCAGGGAGACATCACAAGATTTGCCTGCTCGCGCAGGACCACACCCTCAGAGAATCACTCCAGTCTCCCTTACCTCCCGTGCCCTCTCCTGTCTCCCACTGGACTCCCGGAGCTTCAGAGGTGCAGAAGTTCTTGGAGAAGGGCCAAGACTTAGAACACACAGTGAGCCAGTAACCTTTCCCTAAAATTCAAGTCCACAGGATATCTCCCTCTCAGCCATCTCCCAAAAGGCAGATATTCCAGGCAGGAAGTCTTCTTACCATGCCCCTGGGGGGAAAAAACCCATAGGCAGGTGACCACACACTCCTGCCTCCTAAGACACCACCACCCATGCTCTCGGGACCCAAGAAGGTAACCAGACTTGACAACTCCTGCTCCGTCTTAATCTCAAAGCCTCCCCTTTCTTCCCACCAACCCACACATCCTTCCAGGCCTTGCATGTCTGCGGCCTCCCAGGGACTTCCACCGATGCAGCTCTCCCCTGACTCTCTCAGTCCACAGCTGTGGCTTCAATGGGACTCCAGTCACTCACCCCTCACATGGCCCAGCACTGCATGAGGAATCTCCAAGGCCAAGGCACCACATTTCTGCACGCTTTTCCCTCACAGTTTAGCTCAGCTAAACTGAGCCAGGGAAGGTCAAGAAACACCTCCTGAACTGTTCAGAGCTGGAGAAGCGACTGGAAACACTAACCAATCAATCAGCTGAAGGAACCAAATGCTTTCTCTCACTCCCCCCAAAACTAATGTGCCCCTCCCCACACATGCACAGAAGCTCACAGAGGCACTCCATGCCATGTGTACATAGGATAGCACCTGACCTTTGGGTATTGATCACACTAAGCCCACATGTGCTCCACATTATTGGCATACATATGTTACATACACCCATTACACACACACACACACACACACACACACACACACACACACACACTCGAGGCTGTGATCTGACCCCGGCCCGAGTCTGCCCCAACAGCCACCAGGACTGAAGCTTAGATGGGCTTCACTCCAGTCAGACTCCTGGGCTGCACAACAGTGAGGAACAAATAATTAGAGCCAGAAGGAAGACCTAGCCCTTGCCCAGGGCCCCTCCCTCCACCTCCTGGATTAACCCACGGCCATCCCAGTATAAATACCCCACACGCAACCAAACTATAGCCCTACCCCAAAAAAGCATCTCAGGTTGCCCACCCCCAATATCCCATGCTAGAGCTTTGGGCATACAGACACCCCTGAACTCTGAACTAAGACCCCCACACCAATCTGCTTAACCCTCCCGGAAGTTTTATCCATGAACTGGTAAATAAAATTCGATCATCTAGATCAACAATCAGCTATGAAAGTGTAAAGGGAATGATAGAAGGAGAGGGACAGAAAGGGAGCAGTGACAGCAGAGAGTGAGGGAAATGACTGATACAGTTAACATATGGTTAAGTATACAATCAAGAGAAACTTGCCCGTTCATTCAATACATATTTATGGAGCATCTACTTTTTGCTGGTCACTGAGCTGGGCCCTGGAGCACAGCAAGAAATAGGAAGGCTTGGCCTCTGCCTCCCAGAGCTGAGATGCTCAGGCCTATTGTTTATCAGAGAGCTGTTTTAAAATCTTTCCTGGGTCCCATTCTGGAACTCCTAAGAGAATCTCCTGAGCAGGGTCCAGGAATCTGCATTTTAAGATTTCTTTGAGAGACGGATGCAACCAGTGTACAGACTGACATTTGGACATGGAAGATTATTAAACAGTAGCAAAGTCCTATACACATTATGATATGCAGGAGATATGCTGTGAGTTCTGAGAACCTGGAGGAGGGATTATACAGAAATACAGAGAAGTAGAATATAGATGAGCCAGAAGCTCAGGGCTGAAAAGAACCCTGGAGTTCATTTCATTCAATCTTTCAGATCAGCAACTGAGGCCCAGAAAAAAAAGACAAAGTGAGAGCTGATGAGATGATAACCATTAGAGACATATGCATACACTGTCAGCTGCTAAAGAGCTATAGAGATGGAAGTTTGAGATGGATGGTAGATATACAGAAGGTAAAACAGAGTAGATGATAAAGAGATAATCAACAGTTGGGTAAATAGGAATTATTGTTAAGAAGAAGATAGAGTTAATAAAAAATAGGAAATATAAATTAACCAGCTTTGCAGAGGCAGTTTAATGAAAGCAGACAGAAGTACATGGCTAGATATAAAATAGCTCTCTGTGAGAGATGAATATAGATATTGACAGTAGAAGTAGATGGCAGGGGGCTGATGGGAGTGACTGATGCTTGACAAATAGCTGATAGCTAGAAATGACAGGTCAGCCTGCCTGGCAGATACAGAGAGATAAATAGATAATTAGTTAGTTATACAGCCTAGGTCTTAGTGATAGTTACGAGAGGGACAGAAAGACAGCTCTGGTGATGAAAAAGACTGAACTAAGAGTCAGGAATTCCAGGTTTGGATCTTATTATAACACTAATTTGACATATTACTTTCAACAAAAGGAAGGGAAGCACTGGGGATGAGAATTAATCTTATTTGAGTTCATATTAGGTGACTTTAATCCTTAAACAACCTATTTTGTGGATGATGAAAACAGAACTCAGAGAGGTTGAGTAACTGGCCCAAGGTCACACAGTCAGTTAGCAGGGAGGCAGATACTGAAATCCCATCTGCCTGCACGGGGTGGTCTGCCTAATTCATCTCTCCATCTCAAAGGCCTCACCTGGAAAGACAGGATGCGCTACAAGGAGGTTTCTCAGGCTTAAATCTCCCACAGTTCTATTATTTTGTTTGTTTGTTTCATATGCTTAACCAGCTCATTTATAGATGGAACAAGATTAGCCATGCGTTTTGATCGTTAGTGAATACATTTTAGTGGATACATTTTATTTTCTATCTGGTTTTGTTTTAAATATATGTTTAAGCACCTTATAATAAAAATGAAAGAGAAAATCATTGGGTTTACTAACTGGCATTGTTAGGAGCAAATACTGAGAGGCAGATAGGTTCAGCTGAAAGAAAGTCAATTAAAAATGCTCTGGCTGAGCTAAAAAAATGAAAGTTTAAAAACAATGACATTATTTCAACAAGTGTTAATCTGTGGGTGGTGAGCTTATAAACGGTTTTGTTTTCTTACACTTCTGCAATTAAAATTTAATAACTAATACTTTTAAAATGAAGTTAACTATAAATACCATTCTTAAATTGACACCTTGTTTTAAACAACAATTTTAAAACACTGTTTGCCAAGAGGGAAAAGGGGGTATTATTTTATTAACTTCTTCTTTAAAAAACATATCTTTCTTTAAAACGTTTTTAAATTTAAGTCCGTTGTTTTGTAAGCTTTATCTCTGCAGTTAGAACAGCCCAGCTAGCAAATCTGAAAAAGCCTGGGTCCTGCCGCGGAGATGGGAGCAATGCATTGATGAAATAGGGCATCAGATAGATAGGACAATAGATACCAAAGTGCGACGTGAGCGGCAAAGAGTAAGGTCGGAGCTGCAGGATGCTGGGGACGAAGTTTGGGTTTGGACTCCCCCATGACGCCTTCCACCTATCCTCACTGCTACCCGGGAGACCCCGGCTGCACACACACCCCACCCCCACCTCCAGCCGGACGCCTTCTCACTGTCCAGGACTAGGGTGGAGGACGGCGGTGTAAGAGCGGCGAGGCGAGCAGAAAGGGGAGCGGAAGATGAAATGCCGGCGGGCGAGAGCTGCTGGGCCGCGCCAGCCGACCTCTCTCTTTGCAAATCTGGGCGCTGTCAGGGACAGAAGGGAGTTAAGGTCTCCCGAAGACCATTCAGATACTGAAATCCGCCTCCAGGGCAGCAGCCAGCCACCCCCGCACGTTGGACTCCGGGCGGACTACGAGCTTAGCGGTGCTTCCAGACAGCATTTATTTATGGCAAAGTCTTTACTTACAATAAACCCAAATCTGCCTCCCTATAATTCCCTTCTAGTTCTTTAAATTTTTTTTTCTAATTATCAATTACAAAAATACTACGTGGTGATTGTAATTTCACCCAGTTCAAACCCCTTCAACTCCATTGCAGTTTATTCCCTCCCCGACGCAACAGCCCTTCAAGTGATTGGAAACAGGTCCTGAGTACCAGAATCTGCTTTCCCACCGTTCCCAGGCCCCGCCAACGCCCGCGCACACACGCCACAGTTTCAGAGCCCTGCCAGCCGGGCTGGGCAGAGATCAGTGCCCCCCTTGGACCCCCAGCAGGGCTGCGCGCTCCCGCCTAATCCCTCTGCTTCTGATGTTTATAGCGTGAGGACACGTGGGTTTTCTCCCCACAGCACACCCGCTGGGGGACAGCGAGGCCTCAGCCCGCTTTGCCCCTGCACAGTAGCGAAGCCAGTGCGAGACAGTCCTGGGCACCCCACACACCCCTGAGCGCCCCCGGAACAGTGGCGGGAGAAGGGCTGCAGTAACCGCAGGGCTGAGACGGCGCCAGAGGGCTCGGGTGGGCGCGGAGTGACCGCGGCTTGGGCGCTCAGCGCTCGGCCGGCTCCCGAGGGCGCCAGCCGCCTTCTGGCAACTGGCATCTTCTATAGGCTATGGGAGTGGGGTCGGGAGAAGGTTTGATCCCAACCTCCCGGTGGGTACTTAGTGCTTAAGGTCCTGTGGCCTCTTCGAGGCTGCATACAGTCGGAGGGAAGACAGGCGTGACGGGGGCGCCGCAGGGGTAGCGGGAGAAGCTGGGGAAGGCTGGGGCCGAGGCCGGCCGCTCCGGCCCCCCTTCCACCCGGCCCCCGGTAGCAGCGCGGATCATTACCTGCGTCTCGGAGAGGCTGAGGCTGCCGGCCAGCTGCTTCCGCTCGGCGCCCACCACGTAGTGGTTCTTCTCGAAGGCACGCTCCAGTCGCAGAAGCTGCGAGGGCGAGAAGGCCGTGCGGATCCGCTTGGGCTTGCGCGCGAAGGGGCCGTGCAGAAGCAGCCCGTCCTGGGGCACGTCGCTCGCTGCGGCCGCGCCGCCGACGGCAACACACGCAGATACAGACAGAGAGAAGGGCGCCGTGAGCCGCAGCCCGGCCAACGGGCCGCCCGCGGGAGCCGGCCAAACTACCCATCGCACCGCGCTCTCGCACACGCCCCGGAGTGCTCCGGTGCCCTCTCCAACCCTTGACACACGCACTTCTCTTTCTCTTTTGCCGCCCCTTCTGTAAGTCCACTCCCTTTCCCAGCACCTCCCGGCTGAGGGGGCCTCGCGGAATCGCAGCGCTGCGGATCACTGTTAGGCCAGGAGGTGGGCCCAGGCCTGGTGAGGCCCAATCCACAGTGCCTGGAGCAACCTAAGAGGCCAAGGAGTGGGAAGCTCTTTTTGTCGGCTTGCCCCGTCATGTCTCCCTCAAAGTGGACCAAGAGCAGAGACGGGGCTGGGTGTCAGGACAGTGGTAAGGGGAACAGCCAGGTTGTTAGGCATCCCCCTACCAAATACAGATTCAAGAACTGGAGGGTATCCCAGGAACTCTCCCTTCACACCTGCTTAAACCAGCCTTGCAACTAAATGCTCAGGCTACTAGCCCTTAGAAAATTCCTTGCAACAAGCCAAGGCTCTGCCTTGCAAGTGGTAAAAATAGGCTAGGGGCTAAGTCAACATCCAGGCAGCACCTGGAGGTCTAAAGTTAGGTTTCTTCTTCCCGGCTTTCCCACCTCTCTCCCCTCAGGCCTTCAGGTAAAATCCTCTTCACACAGGACACTTACTGCTCTCTGGTGGAAAAAGGCCTTGCTTCATCCCTGAATAATCCACTGCTGAAGAAACATGTGTATAAATATCTAGACGTCATTTTTCTCTCATAAATACATGCTCCAGCCTCCCTACTGTCTTCTTCTCCTATCCACCATGCAGGATTTTCAAAGAGTGCAACTGTCCCTTGGCAAATGTTGGCCATCACGGGGACTCAGCTCGTACATGCAGGAGGAGGGGCTGACATTGGGCTGGATGGGCCTGAGGTGGTGGGGTCAGGAACTACAAAAGTGAAACTAGCTTCCACCCACAGCCCCAGTCTCAGTGAACCCCCCACTAGGCCTTCACACCACCTCTGGCTTGGTTGCACATGCCAACAAGACTGGAAACAGGCCCTGACATCATCCACGGAGCCTCATGCAGTGGCACATAACAGTACCCTGACCCACCAACAATGCAGAGCACTACATGAAATGTTTTGACAGTTGGTTGTTGAGATTGACTGATCCAATTAATTTCTTCAGAAACGGCCACTTGTTTGACTCAATTTGATTTGTTGTTTCATTTTTTCAGACAATTGTTTGGATAATTCGGTTGAGATCTCCCTTCTCTGGAAATACCTCTGTAAGTGAAGCAAGGGCACATAATTGAGATACTATGGCTAAAACTATCCAGGTAACTGTTCATATCCCTCTGCTGGTGGAAACTGCCTGACATGACTTTCTCCACGTCCATGGGCTTTGGACACCTACACAGGCAAACTTTATTGTTGGGGTTTTCTGTGGAACAGCATTGCCTAGGAATGAGGGGCTAGTGCCTGGGGCGAGACAGAGTTGCCTGAGAGGGAGAAGCCACTAACTTCCAGTCACCTTATCCATTTCAAGTGGCTGGATCTGTGCTGCTGTAAAAGTGAGTGGGATCACATCATAGGAAGATGGAAGGAGGACACCCTGCCCATTGGGCCCTTCAAGGTGGGGGCAGATCCAGGGCTCTCAGGCCTGACAGAAGAAAGACAAGTTTAGCTTGTGGTGGTGGAGGGGACAGATGATCAGGAGAGGTGGTCTGGCAGAGAGGGGTAAGAGGGAGAGAAAGGAGAAGAATGATCCAGTTGGGAATAAGAAGGATTAAGGCCTCAAGTGAGGGCCAGTGTGATAGGCCAGAGATGGAGAGGTGGGTGGGAAGCAAACGATTCTTCCTGATGTTAAAATAAATTGCCTTAAGAATACAGCAGCATTCTGAGCTCAAGTCAAATACCAGCAGTGGTTTCCTCTGGACAAATGAGCTGAAGAGGGAGAGAAAGCCCACCCCTGTGATCGCAGGGTTTGGCCTCAGCAGCTTGACTGGCCCAGATTGGTCAGAAGTGAAGTGGCGGCGGGAGAGACTGGGGAGTTGTGAGTGAACGGGATGCAGAAGTGCAAAGAGTAGTGTGGGGCTGAGAAAGCAGGACTGCAGCCTGCCTCAGTGTGTGTGATTTGATGGCTATTTTGTAATTCCGTGCTGTGTGTTGGTCACTTGTGTGGTAGAGTTCTCTATGTTTGTCTTTATAAACCCCAAGTGGAGGATGGAAGCAACAAGCTCCTCCTGACATACACGTCTCTTTGCTTCAACTCAGGCTATTTTAGGGGAAAGGTAGGTTGCTTGAGGTCTCCCTCAACTGGAGCGAGAATAGCCCCAGTTCATTGTAATGCCCTGAAGGGACAGACAGCATGTATCCTGGAGTCCGTGTTGCATGTGCAGAAACACAGGGGTCCTTCTGACCCAACCAAGAAGAAGCAGAGGCCAGAAAAAAGTATTCAAGATGTTGATTAGTGATGACAGATTTGATTTCAAAAGAATCAGGGCTCTTTCCTGTAAGGAAGAGTATGTTTAGTACAAAACTGAGAAACTCACCAATAGCTGCATGTTTGTGTAAGAACTAGGGTGGTGCCTATGAGCCTGGGCCACTCTCACTCTGACCTATGGAGAGGGGGCTTAAACGTCCCTACCAAGGCTTCAGTTTCCCTTAATTGGATCACAAGGGCAGAACAAGCTTGGGACTGGGCTGTGGTGTGGCCTGTTTAGATGCAGTAATTCTGGGCTCTGAGAGTGGGCTGTCAGTTTCAGACAAGGACAGGTGGAAAAGTGGAAAGGGGCTGGCTTAGTCTTCCCTGGAGCTAGTAACTGTACCCCACCCGCCCCATTTTCCTCCAGCCTTCTCTGCTGGCCCCTTTAAGGCACTGGCTGGGACCTAGCAACGGAGGTTCCCAGGAGTGAGGCGGCAGGAGGTGGGAGCTAGGGATTCGAAGGCCCGGGGCTCGAGCTCCAGCTGCCTCCTGGAGAGGCCGAGGCAGACTGGGGGCTCCGGGCCGAATGGCGGGGCGGAGGGGCCTGGGGCTACGAGACGGAGAGGCCCGCCCGGCAACGGAGATAACCTCTTTCCCCCTCCTCCGGCCGGAACAAAGGCGCCCTTTGAAGCACCGGCCCATTACCACGACCAGTCCCAGAGGGCCTGGTCTCCCACGGCCCCCTCCCGACGCTGCTCCTCGGCCTGGAAAGTTCCTGCTGTCCGGGGGAAATAGCACCGAAGTGCGGCTAACTCGTCGTCTCCACCAGCTCCTCCCCTTCAGGCCTCGAAAGCCGCCCCCGTCTTATGCGTCCCGCCGCCTGGTCCCGACCACCCCGCGCTGGCTTTTCCTCTCCCACCGCCTCGCTCAGCGAAGAAGCCGCTTCCCTGCGCGCCGGGACCGCGCTGCTGGAGAGCGCTGCGCACAGAGCGCAGACGTGTTCCTTTTCGTTCGTGTA